TATTTAGCTGGAAAAGAAACCCCCACTATTTGTCTACATACAACTGTCAGTTTGGATTAGAAGAACTCCAGAGAAGGCTGATTTTTCAGTTGGTATCTCCAAGAGCTCATGATTTCTGATCCAATAAATTAGAACAAAAGCATTCAAGTCATTAGAACTGGCCATACTTGTAATTGCCAACCAACTGGCTGGCTACAGGGCTCTTCCATTTAACATTCTGCTTGAAGAAGGCTTTCAGAAACAGCAATTGTTTTAGAAGAGCCCGACGAAGTACACATCCTTCATTGCAGCACTGGAAACAGGAAAAAAAGGAAAAGAAAAATAAAAAAGTAACTGGAACCACATGAACAGATCTCTCTTGAAGAACGGGTAGCAGTAACTATGTGGCTGTCCTTTCTTGTAGGAAAAAAAAAATAAAAAATCCCTGCAGTATTTAGGTAGTCTTCAAATTTTCAGAATTTCCTAAGGCTATGTTTGCAGCAGAGCTGACTTACATTGCTGGGTAAACCTGCATGGTTTTGAAAGAAGGCTAACCTTTAAGAAAAGAGAAGAAACAAACTATGATAGCTTTGTGTGGAGTCAACATTAGACTAGACACAGAAATAGCATCTCTCACTGCTTCCTTGAAGAGAGAGTGAGCCATCTTTTACAATGCTGAACCACACACTAGGAGATTGATATGATGGTTTCTCTCTGTTATACATTTAATTCTATTTTTTTAATAACTGCCAGAGAGTAAAAGACAAGTGAATGATTATTTATTCATTTTTTCCCTTTTAAAACAAGTTCTCCCAAGGCATTGAACAGCACACAAATGAAGGTTCACAATGATTCGTAAGTACTGAACAGCATTCCCCAGAGGGTGACCAAGGACATTCCAGTGTTTTATATCCATCTTTTGCTCTTCAGTCATTACTCACTGCTCTCCCTCTCGTGTGTTAACGTACTAGTTACAAGATAGTCTGACAGACCTCAGACAGGCTACAGATAAACACAACTTCATATAAAAGCCTTCCACACTGCACTCCCTGTGACCTTAACCAGGCTCAAAATAGGACGGTAGGCTGGTCAAGCCCACATGCCTGCATAGTCCTTGACTGCCCCTCAGCACTGAGCACTGATTAAAGAACTAAGTGAGGTTATCAATTTTTTCCCTTTGAGGTAGAAAAGGGGAATTGGATCCTACATTTAGGTGAGGAAAAAAAACCAAACCAAAACCAAACAAGGCATTGCATAGAAGCAGCCACTTAATCACTGTTGTAGCTTCTTGCCACTGGGCAGATTAGACGTTTTTATAAAATATCACATCACACTGGGTACTGCTTCTGCGTCCAAAGGAGTACGTGTCTTGCTTGTGAAAAGTTTCATTTGTTTTGGATTCTAGATTAAATATTAATGACTAAAGATCATTCAAAATTTCAGCAGCAGAAGTTCATTAAAAGTAAATACTATGCTTTTGAGATTGAAAAAAATACTTACATCTGTGTTAACTGAAACAGTTATGTCAATCTCGTGAATCTAGTATGTAGAACTGTTAACTTACACGTTTAGAGATAATACTATGCCAAAAGGAAAATTACTTCTCAACCCTAACACCTGCGTTAGGGAATTACTTCATATGATTGAATTAATTTCTGTCCCTTACCTTATTTCACAAGAGAAACTGTAAACCAACATTAAAACACCAGACAGTGCTAGAAAGAGCACTTTCTGCTACTTTTACTTCAAAGTTGCTACCCAGCTACCAATCAGTCATCTCAGTATCGCATCCAGTACTGTATAAAGTAACTGTATACAACATCCTCCATATTAACTTTTAAATGTAATATGTCAAGTTAATAATTTGTCATGAAAAGCTTGTATGCAAAAACACAGCAACATAAAATTGCTGTTATCATGAAACAGCATTTCATTTTTATTATTTCTTTACCAGCCTTCTAATCTTCACTTTACAGCGACAGTCTTTACATAGATATTACAAATCAGTAATAATGTATCTGATAAATTACCCTGTTTGTATAGACAGCTTTCTGATCAAGTTGAATAGGTTTCATGAAAATTAAATAAATAATTAATCTTAAATCTCCACATAAGATCCCTAAACAAATACCTCAGTAGCCTTATTTCTTTGGAATGAGGTTTCAAATGACAAACTCTTTGCATATTATCTTCAGTGTTGTTTCGGTAGAAGTAAGAGTCACAAAGTCTTTCTGAAATGGCCTTCAAGGGCTGATGAACATTTCATTTCCTTAATAAAACAGGTTATAGAAGCAGCAGCTGTGTTTGTTCTAACCTAATTTAATACCATATTTAATACCATACGCGATAAACAACAAACTCAACAGCATTACCTAATACTGCTTTTCAAGGGTTGAGGATAAAAGCTTCTATACTCGGTCAAGCTTAAAAGCAACCTACTCTGATTACTGCACTTTCCTATATTTCGTGGAGCTTTCCTAACTGCTTTCAGTTCACTTTACCCTATCTGGTCACCACAGAAATAGAAACAAACATTACAGATTCTCATTAGAGCAACAAAATAAATCTGTACCAACTACCCCATTGGTAGTCACACCCATTTTTTACCGTTGTGGAACTGGGACAGTCTGCCTGATCAAGAGTGCCAGACAACATGCTACCTTACAGTAACCATCACAGGTATGTAAAATAAAGCACTAAATGGATATAAGGTCACTTTGCTGGATCAAAGCTGTTGAGAGTATTTTTGAATAGGCAATACTAATGGCCGTAAATTCTGGTGGAACAGCCATTGTGCCCCTGCACCATTTCACAACTGAACTGCCCTCAACTAGTCCCAAAGATCTCTCCATTTGTCCCTTTCTCACCATAAATTCTGCAGGGTCATGTATCCAACTGTTGCTGCCTCATTTAAAATCAGAAGCTGTTCCACATCCCTCTTTCAATTAACTACTCACTGAATTCTTACTATCTTAATTTTCTGTTAATTGTATTGACTACCATTCCTTCAATATAAAAAGCTGTAAAGCCCTACAGGTCTCTCTTTGCTTACTGTAGATCACGTCAATTGACTTACATGTACAACAGCTTGATTGACCCACACTGAATGACAGCATAGTTCCATGGATCACCACGAACAACAGTGGACACTTGCTATTATGTAGTCCAAACCCTATTTACCTGTAAGATTTTGTAACTACAAAAAAAAATATTCATAAATGGGATACATTTTAATAAAGCCACATAAAGTCTCCATCTCCTAGATTATCTTTGAAACCCATGAAACGCTGAAACAGATCAAATAGTTCATCTCACCAAAATGCTCACTAAACCACAAAATATCGAGTATCTGAAAGACAAACAAGTCAATTACAGTATGAGTACACTTCCATGAACATACATGGATTCACCACGTTGCCTACTGTTACGATCAAACAATCTTTGAGTTAATACAATACAAAAAAAAAGGAAAGCAAGTATGTTATTTGAGTCCTAAATTAAGTATTTGCTAAATCAGACTGTTAATCTTGAATCAAATACATATAGATATATGCACCACTCATTTCCACATAGTAACTCTGATTTTGTATAAAGTTTTTAAAAATTCATAGCTGGCAGTGCTTAATATGAAATTTAGCTCAAAGGTTTTATCAAACTTGCAATATTTTGTTTCTCTACTACCTTACCAAAGGTAGATGTTTTCTTTAAATCCAGTTCTTCATTACTGCTTATTCTATTTTCTTGTCAATAGCAATCGCAATACTACTTGCAAACTCCCTAAAACAAAGGGAAAACTTTCTATTTGCATTATGGGACCGCTTGTACGCTTTCCGGCTATATAACAAAAAAATTAGTAAAGTGTGATTTGTCAGGCTAATTATTCTATGCTTCTAAAAAAAACATCATGAAACTACACAGCAAACCTCATGAGATCAGGTGTAACCATGTGATGCTTTTGTATAATGTATGCAGAACGGGCTGAAGGAGTTAGGTCCCAGTTTTTCCACAGCTAAATATTATAGTTTTCTCATAAAAAAATTTAAAAGAAATATGTCTTACTAAAATCTTCCCTCTCATTCTTTTTTGAAAACAGTTTTCCCTTCCATCTACCGTAGGTGCATACTTAAAATTTAAATGTGTGTTTAAAACCAGCATGAACTCTGAGAATTTTGCTGAAATTCTCAATTTCATGCCAGAAATAACAAACTCTGGGAAACTCCACCTAGACAACCACTAAAAGGCACACAAAATTCTTCCCAACGAATTTCAGTATCTCACTTGTGTGAGTTTATATGGAAGAAAGTACAGAAATCACCCTGTTAGGACTATTAAAAAGGTCGATATTAAATCTTACTTTGGCATAGTTTATCATTCAGTATCGTTGGTCTGTTGGGGATCTCTACCTTAAGTAATGCAATACTATGTAGAGGTACTTGAATCAGTATTATATAAGCTGTCCAGAGCTCCAGAGGTAACAGAGCTCCATCAACATGCCATTCTGAGAATAAAGGTAGCCAATATAATGTTCTGCCATGGCTAAGCGTGTCTATGACTCTTTGGGGAAAAATCAACACATGAGAGTTTACTTTCAGCAGTTGAAACTAGGCTGTATAAGAGGCTCTAAATGCCAACATCCATCTTCACTGCAATAAATAGCTCTGGTTACTCCATCCTCCTTACAGAATTCAGGTTAACCCAGTGGGAGGCAAGAGCAACCATACTATGACAAGCAAAGGAAAATCAGATTAGCAGCACAGAGTGACTCAATTACCAGTGACTTTGTCAGCAGCAGTTGATTTAATTTGAACTTTAGTATTCCTGCAACATCACTAATTAATCCACAAACTGGAATTTCAAAGAAGTCAGAAGGACTAGCCAACTAATTCTACGCTTATAGCATGATTTAACTCAAGTTAGAGATTTGTGTGGAAACAGAAGTAAAGAGTGCAGTGATGGCCAGTCTTAAAAGGTAAGCGTTCACAACAGGTCATGTAAAAGGAAAACAGTTTTATAGCTCTTACCTATCAGACCTTTCTCAAGAGTAAAGGTTTTGTTCGTGAACATGCATTCAAATGCCACAATATGGAAAACTTTGTTCACTGTGTTGTGGGTCCCAACAATTCGAATATACCTATGGAGGGAAAAAAACCCAAACAAACAGGTAAGTAGCACAAAGTAAGCATGACAAACTTCTATGCATTAAAATATAAATGATTCAATTGGATTATATTGTGCAGACCCATAAGAAATGAGTAACTTAAAAAAATTAAAATAAGAAAAGGAGTAAAAAGAGTATAAATTTCACAGCAAACTTACACTTGCTCCAGTACAATTTAAGACCAAAAAAAAAAAACCAAAATAAAGAGCTGTGAAATCTATCAAAAGTCTTTCTGGACTCATTTGCCAAGAAAAGCAAAATGAGAGACCTTCTGATTCAGAAATGGTCTGTTAGAGCAAATGTGTGTTCATGGAGGCTTTAAATAATAAAAATAATAATATTAAAATCCCTTTACCAACTACTTTTCACCACAATGAAAGATTTCATACAGTCAAGACAAACCCAACAAATCAGTGAGGCTTCTCTGCAGAAGTCAAAAATTATTCAATTTCATTATGATTGTTTCCAGCTCTAACACTGGATGTACAGGATATGTCTTTGTTGGTGTATCTTTTGTTAATTAAAAAAAAATAAAATACATGAACAGTCAAATGTTATGAAACAAAGCTAGCTCTGGGTTTCATTCCTGGTTGTATAACTTATAGTTCTAGACTCTAATTGAAAATCAAATAGAGCTGCTCTTGAGCACTGTGACCTATTCACCTTCTGTATTACCCTGGAGGCTTCACCTTCTATAAACAGCCGTTAACCTTGATTCACTCCAATTCCCACATTTTCTGAAGAGATCCAACAGTTCTTACTATAAATTGTAAAAAATCCTAAATGGAATATTGTACACCATCTCAATAAATGTTGAACAAGCAACACGGAAAACTACCTAAACCAAATACCATTACCCCACAAAATGGGTTACCCACATTGCGGAAAGCTTTAATTGAAATGAGTTCATTTAATGTAAGAAGTATCAGAATATATGAATCTTAAGCAATATCCTCAGTCTGTGGTATAAAACAACCTTTCACTTATGTAGTATAATTATAGATCCAACATAATGGCTGTTCACCAACAGCATAATTTTGGCTTGTGTTCTTCATCATACCAAGTTGAAAAGATACACAGCTTTCAGTCCTGAGAATATTTTTATTTTTTTTTTTTACAATTAAACACTCCTCATAGCTATTTACTGTACTAATGTTCAACTTCATCCTACACTTCGAGACTTGAGTGCCTTATGAAAGAGCTCTTATAAGCAAGCCTCCATGACTGTTATTATTTGTTTGTCTTTACCATACATAGAAAAAATTTTCTAAAGAAATTATTAAAAAAAATCTACCTATTACATGCAAATGACTGCAAGAGACAACTAAGTCACCTGAATATCATGACATTGCTAAAATTGCCAGGTTTTGACCTCTGCTCCTTCTAGCTTATATAATAGTTTCATTTAAAAATATATATATATTTTGATTAAAATTACAAACCCGATATACAGTATGCTCAAAATTTCACCTAAAAATTATTTTAATTATCATGACTTGAAATAAAAAAGAATTATATCCTACTCCCTAATTAATATTAACTCACAGATCAATTAATTATTACAGTCACAAATTTCCTGCAAGTCACTATGTAGAAAAAGTTGTAAAACTGGAGAAAATATTTCTGTTTTCATAAAGAACGTGAACCCATATTTTAAGAATAAAGCAGAACTTAGCCATCACTGTGTAACTGTGACAAGTGCCTGCAAGGAGCATCACAGGAATCTTGGTTGACAGTCAGGGAAACAGCAGTGCTTTCCCCAGACCTGCCCACATGAACCAGGTCAGCTGCTCAGAGGTGATATGTGAAATGCCATACTTTGGGATTCACATTATGAAGGCAAAACCATATCAGCCTCCATGTTTCTTAACATGCCCAGGATAATTTGCAGTGCTTTTGCAAGCACAGCAGCAGGTACAGCCACAGCAAAAGCATGTTAGACACACAGGAGCAAGACCCCAATGTTTCTACTCACAAAGCTGAACTTCTGCAAAACTGACACTGAAGATCCACTGACAAGATTATAATAAAATTATTCAAGGGACTAACAGTTTGCTGCTCAAAGAAAGTTAACCTGAAATTAGAAAGAATCTTTCAGTTTTAGGAGGTCTGGTAGACATCTTCAGCAAAGGGTAAGCCTCATCCTTGAAGTTACAGGCACAGATGTATTTCGTCCAGTCTTTTCAGATTATTTTCTTTTTGTCAATTCATGAGTATGAACCCTAAATACACAGGCAATGACCAGGATCTGACAATAGTAAATGTTCTCGTTCTACTTAGAATTAGAAGTACAGACTTCAGCCAAATACGGGAACAATCTTGGAACATTTGTAAGTGCATGCAGACTCCCTTGTCTCTCTTACGCAAGAAAGGTATTGATTGAATTGTGCCGTTTGGAGAAAACATACTCCAGGCTAACCAACAGAGCATTACTAATGGCGATACTTAGACATACTTCAGTTACGCTTCCTTACTCTAAAGAGTTTAGAGAATAAACAAAGTAACAATATTAATAGGAACACAAGAAACTGTTTCATAATTGGCTTTAAAAGCTAAGTTATTTAGAATTTTTGTGTTATGAAATCATAACACTAGAGCACACTTGTTTTTGGCTTGTGTGTTTGCTTTTAATACATCAAGAGGCTGAAAGACACACCAAGACTTGAATAGTTTGCCATGGGAAAAGCATCTTTATCATACTGCACACTTAGGTTAAATAAGGTATCACTCACTGGTTGGCAAAGTTCTCTGCCGACAGGTAGAACGGAACAAAGCTTAATCTTGTATGCTAAATAGCCTATCAGTTATTTTGAACAATAAGTGACAATGTTTCACATTGCTGGAAAGCTGAAATTTTGTGGCAATACAAAACAAAATCCCATCTATTAAAATAATCATGTATATATTAATCTTCTAAAGTATATTATCTCTATGTAATATTATTGCAAGGTAGAATGTAATGATATGACAAATCCCATCCTTTCTCCCCCAACACAATACATATATTTTATTCTTTCCTTCTCTCTCCCAAGGTGAATGATCAGCATCATTTCCTGCCTGAATCTTGCATTCTTCTACTTGGTGGAAGTTAAAATAATGCAATCTTCAAAATTACTTTAAACACTCTAACTTCTAAAATCACATTGTCAGATTTTGCATAAAAATTGTAGCTTATTATTCCACTTGATGTAAGATACTAAAGCTGCCATAGCCTGAGACTGTAAAGATAATCTTCCTTCAAATAAGGCAGAATTTATTAGGAATGTCCAGTACCACTAGGTAAACAAGCTGTACCTGAATTTCAAATATCACCAATGAAGAGCGATATTGAAGATGCATAACTTGTTTCAGAAGACTCAGATGAAGAGTAAATACTAAAGTAGTACATCTTAATCAGAAGAACTCTAAACAACAGGCTGAAAACAAAGAGCCAGCTCAGAAATATGATAGTGAGGAAAAACTGCAATGTGGACAGCTTCAATATACGCAACAAAGTCTTCATTCAAAGCCTACAGATTTCAGGAATTTAAAGTGCCTATTATAGCTCATGACACACTTGAAAAGGTGTAATTCTCCTAAGCAGTTTTCCGCCAGACAGAAATGCAGCTGAGTCATGACTAAAAAGTATCCTTCAGGCAATCAGGCTATGTGTATCATCTCATCATTTTCCTGGAGAGATTTGTTCGCTGAAATATAAGAGTACAGGCAACAAAATTATTCAGCACACGTAACTTTGGCAAATGCTTAAAATGCATGGAACCTGTGCTGTGTGATCACTCATTAAGTTTTTAAAACATACTGTACTGGTTTTGGCTGGGATAGAGTTAAATTTCTTCACAGTAGCTTACAAAGTGCTGTTTTGGATTTGTGCTGAAAATAGTGTTGATAAGACCAGGACGTTTCAGTTGCTGCTGAGCCGTGCTTACACAGTATCGAGGTCTCTTCTGCTTCTCACCCCACCCCACCAGTGAGGAGGCTGGGGGGACACAAGGAGCTGGGAGTGGACATAGACGGGACAGCTGACCCCAACTGACCCAAGAGATATTCCATACCAGGAAGGGGGGACACACGGAGTGATGGCATTTGCTGTCCCAAGTAACTGTTACGCGTGATGGAGCCCTGCTTTCCTGGAGACAGCTGAATCCCTGCCTGCCCATGGGGAGTGGTGAATGAATTCCTTGTTTTTGCTTTGCTTGCACGTGCAGCTTTTGCTTTACCTGTTAAACTGTGTTTGTCTCAATGCACGAGTTTTCTCACTTTTACCTTTCCAATTCTCCCCGGCTTTGTGGGGCTGAGCCGCCCATCGGTAGCCCTATCACCATGATACTGCTTGTGGCTCTGAATAGCAGAGCAGCAACAGGTAAGGCGCTCAGCTTTGTTAAAAGGTCTAAGGTACAGACAACTGAGAATTAAGCATCATAAGATCTAACAGTCTTCTGCTTCCCACAAGCAAATCTGCACCATACCTGCAAGAGCATGGTACCTGCAGCTAATTAGGTAACATTGACAGAGATGAGATCAGTGAGCAGGCTCTGTGTACAGCTGTCTCCAGCAAACTAGGAAGAAAATGCTCAGGCCAGACGTATGTTTGAAAATCTGTCTTTCTCTCCATCAAGTGTGGGGAGATCCTCCTGTCAACTTGGACCACCTCCAACACTACATGCTTGCAATTATTGTAGTCCTCTGAATCAGAAAAAAAGAGGAAACAAATGAAAGATCACATTTTTAACAGATGACATGTCCTGAAATACAACACAGGTATCTTTTATGCCAATTAAATCAACATAAATGTCTATAGTAATTCTTTTCGATAGCCCCACAGAGCCATTCTTCTGTAAGTTTCTGTGCTTGGCAAGCATGTCATTAATTAGAGAGGACTGCTGACCAGACTTACTTGTGTACGCTGAATTACAAGATAATTTAAAAGCTTTGATTACCACAAGATGGAAGGGATAAAAAACAGCAGAAAGCCCAAACCCTAAATGAACCAAAAAACTCTAGAGCACTCTGTTCTGAGTGACTGTCGTGGTTTAACCCCAGCCAGCAACTAAGCCCCACACAGCTGCTTGATCACCGCCCCTTCAGTGGGATGGGGGAGAGAACTGGAAGAGTAAAAATGAGGAAACTCGTCCGTTGAGATGAAGGCAGTTTAACAGGTAAAGCAAAAGCTGTGTGAGCAAGCAAAGCAAAGCAAGGAATTCATTCACCACTCCCCACGGGCAGGCAGGTGTTCAGTCATCTCCAGGAAAGCAGGGCTCCATCATGCGTAATGATTACTTGGGAAGACAAAACACCGTAACTCTGAACGTCCCTCCCTTCCTTCTTCTTACCCCAGCTTTATATGCTGAGCATGACATCATATGGTATGGGATATCCTTTGGGTCAGGTGGGGCCAGCTGTCCTGGTTGTGTCCCCTCCTAACTCCTTGTGCCCCCCAAGCCTCCTCGCTGGTGGGGTGGGGTGAGAAGCAGAAAAGGCCTTGGCTCTGTGTAAGCACTGCTCAGCAATAACTAAAACATCCCTGTATTATCAACGCTGTTTTCTGCACAAATCCAAACCATAGTCCCACATCAGCTACTATGAAGAAAATTAACCCTATCCCAGCCAAAACCTGCACAGTGACACAAGCTTGGGCAAACCTGATTAATCTGAGACACAGGAATAATGAATTAACAACATACTCAAAATCCCATCGCCAAACTATGAATTTTAATTATATTGCTCACTGAGGAAGAGACAAGGCAGATAAAGAAATGAGGAGGACAGACATTAAAAACACTACAGGCAGTTTTTCCAGTGAAATTAGAAATTGTTCACTTTTCTGTCAGGAACAAAGCAGCTTTATACAACACAAAGTTATCTATAAATCTTTGTGTGATAGCAGAGTAAAAGAATCACAATACAACAGCTAGACCAGCTCCTCTGTCAATGGACTTTAGACTCAACTGATAAGACTGGGGGGAAGACAGAAAGAGCCCTGAATCATTCTTTAAAGAGAAAACCTTGATCACTTTGGGGGGGGTCTAAAAGTACTTCCCTGGCAGGTGAACAGGACTGCAGCATGAGAATTTTGCTCCTTTAGAAGACATTTTATTTTGGCTTCTGGCCCTGTTCGAGAATACCAGATACTGATAGTATTTATGTGCTGTAAGAGTTTCATCCACGGCACAGACTTCTCTAGTCACAGTTTGTCATGCTACAGTAGGCTGTGAAATTCCGATGGCAGGAATATCAGAAAAATCTGCACTATTCCCCCCCCCCCAACAAAAAAAACCTGTTTTAACTAGAGGGAAATAGCATGTTCTACTGGATCTTAGTAGAATTTTAAACTAATAAAACTTGAATGAACTACCTGGGATGATTTAATTGGTAATAGCCCCCATCCACCCCGTTTTACTCAAAGCAATTCTTCACCTTTACAGGAAACGATGACTTGGGCACTCCATTGTCACTACAAATCCTCACATTTCTGAACAACTCCCATTATGTTTTACTTCTGCTCTTCACATTCGCACAGCTGACACATTTAATTCAGATAACAGCTGCTGCTGAGCATACCACTGATTCAGCTGTGGATACCCTGGAGGACCACTGCATACTAAAACTCAGCTGCCTGCATCAGAACAGTACTTAAAACATATGTGTCAAAGCATAAAAATATGCATACTCTAGGATCCATTTTAATCCTTCATTATAATAACACCAGTAAGACACAGACGAGCTCTGGAATATATTAAGCACAGATTCCAATCCCTTGAGAATATTGAGCCAGAAGACTAAGTAAGGAGAGGCAAAAAGAAATTTACTGGTATTTTGCACTGATATCCATTCTAAGTTACTATCAAAGCAACCTAGAACAGCAACAGTGAACTAAAATAAAGAATGAAATCCAATATGTACAGAACCAGCTCTTAAGAACTTAGCATTTCATTTTCCTTCGTGGAGCATTTGGTATGAGACACCAGTGCTAGTCCTATATACTTCATATCTCCTCTAACTGCTTAGAAACCGCTAACATTCACATTCTGATCACTGCCACAGAGATGCATGAGACACAGCCTAGCACACAAGGGCATTAGAAGACATTCTGTTTGTCTTTTAGTGGAAAAGGAAACAGTGCTATTCACTGCCATCTAAACTCCATTTATTGACAACTCTCTAAAACGTATAATCCTTCAGACTCACACAGCTGAATCAACAGACTCATGGCAGGAGGATAAAAAAAAAGCAAGGAGGAAAGATCTATTGCCAGAATGAAATCATGTGGAAAAACAGTGGACATAAATAAATACATAAAATAGAGAATTAAGCTAGAACAAACATAGAAATCATTTCTGTCTTTTGTCAGGAGACAAGTTTTCCTGCACTTATATGAGAAAGTCTAATAGAGCCTATTTTATACCAAAGAAAATCCCTGCTGCAAATACAGAAAACAACAGTGACAAATCAAAGAAAACACTTACACAAGACAAAATCATTGAACTCTAGTAGGAAAAGCATCCGTAACACCTGCAAAGCCTGTACAAGAACAAACACTTTCACCTTCACAACTGATGCAAATACAAGCAACAGTGTGGCAGTTTGAAAACACAACACATTTCTCTTTGTAATTTGCTAAAATGTGTATCCTGATATTTTATGCTGTGGCATTCAAGCGGCTAAAAATATTGATATACAATAATTACGCAGGATATGTAACTGTTGGTGTGTACTATATATAAGCAGCATATCAACTAACCAACCAATGTTTCTGAACGTATTTCATCAAATTAACACTGATGTGCATGGGAACATAAATAATATTTGCATGACGTGATAATATGTTTTGTATTCCATACATAAGAATAATGAGCTTACAGATGGTAATTTTTTCATTACTGGTTTCCAATTTTTATTTTATTTTATTTTTAAAAAACAGAAAACCCCAAATTTGAGGTAAATTTGCTTGAATCTGAATCTTCACATCATGTGCATCTCTAGTTCCATTCAATTTCTCAAATCTGAACTTGGCTTTGCAGGTTTTGTTTCAGGTCAGACCTCAACCCAAAACAGTTCTATTTCCTAGAACCAGTCTAGATACAGGCAGGAATCTGTAATTTCACCTGATCTCATAATGGGCTTCCACCACATGAATTAAAAATCTGGTAGGAGAAGATAGTAAGAGTTTGATGCCATGAAATCTGTATTTAAACCCTATCCCTGATTCGACTTTGCAGCCAAACGCAACTTAAATATCATCTTCATGCCACCTCTGTTGAATACATAAATGGGACTCTAATAAATTAAATTTTGTAGAAAAAAATAGTTCTTTTAAATAGAGAAGAAAGCATCATTCCTCAGGAAGTCTGACTCTAGCACAAAGTGGACATGGGATTTAGAGAGCAGACACGAGCTTGCTCTGCATACTTTCCAGGCTGGTGTGACATGGAGGCAGATTCTTTCCAAAACGCACGAAATCTTCAACAGGACTTGTTTTCTTTGAATCACAGTATATCCTGATGTGATTTCATGGCCTTGGCTAAATCTAGCTTACGTTTCATTATATAGATACATTGTAGCCTCCACATTTTTAAACACATTGAATAAAACGCAAGAAAATAAAGTTCTGTTCAATGAAACCTGAGAATGTTTTCCATTTTCCCCAGTTTCTCATGTTCCACCGGCCTGTGAATTTAACAGGCAGTAATTATTTCTTGCTCCAAGGACACCTCAGTAGAAGCTGTCCAGGTCTAGACTGGAAAAAGACTATACACAATATGACAAAGAAATACCTGAAAAGTATTAGAACAGAGTGATCTCAAAGCAAGTGCAACCCACCCCCCCC